TTCCACTGAAAGCAGGATAACCAAGAAAAAGCTCAAAGAACAAAACATACTCCCCTGCAAATTCTCTCGCACATTTGCATGGCTTCTCTCAGTCTTGGCAACCTGAAAAAGCCTCACCCCTACCTCCTGCTCTGTTCTATTCTCTTCTAAAGATCACAGCATACTGTTTTGCTGAGGGTTCTTGTCCTCACAGGTTACTGTAAAAACAGGTTGGGTGCTTCTCCCCCATAGGGTACAATTAGTTTTCAATTTAATGTCTTCATAAAAGAATAGCTATGTAGAATGTCAGCTATGCCATCTGTCCCATTGGTATCATCTGTCACTCTACTTCAGGCCACCTGTGTTAGTAAGAAAAGCTTTGCTTTTGCTTGTCAAAACACCTTCAACACTTCTGTGTTTTTTAACCATTTAATTAAAACTAAGAAAGATTGTGTGGGGCATAATCACTTGTGAATGACAGTGTGTTGTTTTTGCTGTGTTGGTTTTTTTTTTTTTTTTTTTTAAGTACTGACTGGCATGTATCTTCATTTTGGGTTTATTTTCTTTAGTCGATGAAAATTATGATATTAACTTGGAATTGGAAAAAGTGGAGTAAAAGCAGGAGTGAGAAGAGATCTCAATCTAAAAACATTGCGGAGTATGACAAATAGGCAGTTATTTCTACAGCAGCATGGGATACTTCATTAAATACTTTAGAGCTCAAAATATGTCCTGAAATCTCTTCTGTGAAACTTACTTCAGTATGCTAGAGGAGAGCTAATAAGAAACAGGATAAAGTGCTGTTCTGGAACACTTATTTGATAGAAATTTGTATTCCCATGAAAATAAAATTAACTGCTATATTGTAAAAACATTTATTGTAAGCAGCAGAACTGCACAGCCTGGTTTGCAGTGAATTTTTTCCTCTTTTGCATGTTAATATTTGGGCATCCCAGCTCTTTTTGTCTTTATTGGCAGGGTTTTGTGCCAGGCAAGAATACTACATACTTTGTTGGAATAAACTGGCCGAACAACATGTAATGTCAGAGTTCTTAATGTCTTTCTCTTTGGTAGCATTGAGCTTGGTTTCTGTCTTAGTCACTGACAAATTACAAAGTGTACGGACAAGTTGAAATCAGATGGGGCAAAGGGTTCAAAGGCAGTTTTGGGGAGAATAGGGGAAATAACAGTTTGTACAAAACTTACTTCCTCAGCTGAAAAACTGTTAGAAAGATTTTGTCTAAAAAGATACTGGAAAGTGAAGTGTATTGCATATGTTTGATCTTCCCAATTAGTTAAAGGTGGGAAGATAAAAGTTTAATTAGAAGAGATATATTTATTTATTTTAATATGTTGGAGAGACTGTTTTTCATTGGGTAACTGACCTCTGGGGAAGGTAATATAAAATTACAGAGTAAGATCAACATGTAGTTAAACATTTCCTTGTTTGTAGATTTAACAATTGAGTCCACATCTTGTGATTCTTGTGGGTGATTTACAGAGTGGGTTTGTGGTGTGTGGTGGGGTTGTTTTGTTGTTGTTGTTCGGGTTTGTTTGGTTTCTTTTTGTGTGTGTGTGTGTGTATGTGTTTGTTTTAAAATAACCTTTAAGCAGTTCAGTTTCCTGACAACTCATTCTCTCAACTGTGATTTATTTCTCCTAAGTTTTATGGTAAATCAAACTGCATTTAGCACCAGTGTGTCTTTAACTGGCTATCTTACTGTAAAATGTGGAAGTCCCTGATATCACCTTAGAACTGGACCTACTTGTATGTTAAAGCATTTTATATGCTTAGACCTTAAAAGGTAACTTTTGATTATTTTTTCCCTTTCTGTTCCTTTTCCATGATTTCCCCAAAAATATACTGAAGATACTACAAATTTCTTCATAATTAAAGGGCAGACCCCTTATTTACTGTCAGAATTTAGCAGGTGGTGTCGATGTATTTAAATACAAACATTTCTGATTTTTTTTTTTAATAAATGTGGCTTTTTAGTGTTTTTCATAGTCTATCAAGCTTGTCTGTGTTACACTGTTTAAAAAAAGATGCCTTTTCTGAACTGAAGATACTTCTTGGCCTTTGTGTAAAACGGTGGTGATGTACGTTCACAGGAGTCACGATCTGGTGTTTTGTGTGTGTGTCAGAGAAGTTTAGCCTGGTGCTTGCTCTCGGCATGATGGCCACATCAGAGCCTGCCGGTTACGAAAGATGAGCGTCAACCAATTCCCTCACAGATTTCTTGCAAGTATTCCTCCTCATCTTTGTTTGAAAACAGCTTCAATTATGCTTCATTAGTGGGGGAGCTCTGTGCACAGTGCAGGAAGCGAGGCGTGCTTGCTTAAAGCATTTTCCATCTGATATTCATGTTGCACAGGGGGCCTGTATGGGTTCTGCGTAGCCGCAGCACCAGTGTAGCTGTATGCAGCATAAATGCTTTTCTTTGCACTCCCCTTTTCTGTGTTGTTTTGTAAGCAAGATAACCACATCCATGTAATATAGAGGCATAAAGGGCTATTGGAACATGATGACACACTAGCGGTGGTATAACCCCTTTGGTATAATGCAGTACCTCCATTAAAAGAATCATTTTTCTCATACGTGGGTGCTCTCATTGTTTGTTGACAAATGGTTTTTAGTGGCAGAATGTGGAGCTCGCATCCAGGCGTTGCTCCCTCAGTTACACTGGCAGGTAGATGTGCTGATGCTGCTGCCAGAGAACTGCTGATTCTGGGTTATTTTAAGCCAGGATTGGCTGCCTGGTGTGGTTACAGTCAGCATGCTGGCGTACCTAGGGAGGCGCTCCGGGGACCAGGGTGACGAGTGGGGGCTAGGGACTGCTGAGATTAGCCCAGTATTAAAATGTGTTACCCTTAGTATTAAAAAACGACAAACCCCAGAACTAAAAAAGTCTTAAATTTGAGCATGCCCATAAGAGTCAAACCCACAGTTTGCCTACTAGCGTGTCTCTGGCAAAGTCCAAGTGGTAGGAGCTGTGAAGAATTGTAAAATTGGGTCTTTGAGTTAAGTTATTTTTTTAATTTCAAGTTGACTCACTGTATTAGTTTGTATTCGGCCTAAGACACTGTTTCCTCTGCCAAAAATGTCAAACTACGATAAGTATATGGTCCTCCATAGGTGGAAATCCAAATTGTCCCATTTACCTGCAGCAGCACTCATACTGAAAACTTGCTGAAAGAAATGGAGAATGTTTTATGCATTTACAGGGCTAATCTGTAGTTTCTTACTAACTTGCATACCACTGAACTAAAGCTTTAAGCATTCATTATAACTGATTTTCTACAGAATTATTGTAAAAATAAATAGCCAGATAATACAAATTCTGACTACATTATAAATTATGTGTATCACTTAAAATATACTTGCAGAAGTGAGTGTAGATGGCTCCAAGAAGCTTCGATAGTCTTCTGGTAAGGTGTAAGTGGCATTGACAGCTAATGCCTGTGCAGATAAGTAGGGAATGTGTAGTCACAACAAGGAATTAGACCAGATAAATTTATTTTTATGTTTGCGTATGTACCTATTATTAACTTCAATATTATGATTTGTAGGACCTTGACATTTTTGAGAAGAATAACCAGGTTTTGGCATTAATTAATGTGACTTCACTTCTTTATATTGTATATTTGATTATTTTTTGCTAAAGCGAGGTGTTATTTAACTGCATCAAGACAGCCATATCACTTAAATGCTGTGTAAATTTATTTCTACAAAATGCCAGTATTGTAAGAGTCCAATTATGTTGGAAGAATGTATTAAGCCGAGTAGAGGTAATCTGTCTATTTTGTGCTTGTATTAGTCCTGATGTACACACACAGAATGTCTGCTATAAAACTAGAATAGTAAATTAATATTATACCTACTGGTGAACATTTTTCATCAGTAGAAACAGGATAATTTTTCATTGTGAAAGCTAACACAGAAGGGTGGTGAAAAATTTAACTGTACATAGTAAAAACAAGCCAGAGGAAAAGCAGGAAATGGCACTAAAATTACCTGAGGAAAAGAGGCTTCTGCAGGACTTCTTGTCCCCGCCTAATGTCCTTTTGCTCATTTTGGCCCCAGGTCCTTTTTTATGAGAAGGAGCAGAATGGTCCCTGTAAGGCTTATGAAGGCTGGCAGCAGAGGAGAGGGAAAGATGTACAGAACTCGGTCGGTCTGTCTGCTCAGTGCAGTAGTGGGGTGGGTGGTCAGAACATGGACAGCTCTTAGCTATGGTCACTGCGTGGTGCCTGAGGTAGGATTGGTGCTGTAAGACTTGAGCAACGAGGAATACAAGTCTCTGTAGGAAACCAGGCTTCCCTAATTTTACTGCTTACGGAACAACTTGCCTGTCTCCTGCTGTTTGTTAGGGTGATGTTAAACATGGTTATACGTAGGCTGAAAGTGCTCGCACCAGTTATTTATGAATATATAAGTGTAAATGTATGAAACATTCTTAAAAACAACTTTAGTGGTGCAGCAGAGTAGTACTTCAAATTCTTTGAAGTTGAATCTGATTCCAGTACAAGTGTTCAGTTTAATAAACCAGTCTACTCTTGTTAGAGTAAACCATGAATGCTTTCTGTGAATTATTAACCCCTTTGGCTTTTTCACTTACAGGATTTTCTATTTAAGGTAGAATAGGAAATGCTTTTGGTATTTTCATGCTGGTATTCTTTAAAGTGCTTTTAAGTATATTGGGGAAAAATAACAGGTTGGCAGTAGTTTAATCAAAAGTTAAGAAATTTGGGGACAGCTTAATTGTTACCTATTACCTTGCACTAGAAAAGTGTTCACTATTACAGCAGTTGAGGGATCTGAAAGGAGAGGCACACCAGTTTGCCACATCCTCATTGTCTTTCTGCAGGTGTTCTTTGACTTTAAGGTATTTGTCTAACATAATTTCTGTGGATGTAGGTGAATAGCTCATAATGAATACTTGTAGTTTTTAAAGTAGTTTGTACAGGTTGTGTTTATTTTCAGCGGGGTGTATTTGTGACATTGCCTCTTCTTCTTCTAGGAAACCCAGCGCTTGCTGGCAGAGCCAGTCCCTGGGATAAAAGCGGAGCCAGATGAAAGCAACGCACGTTATTTTCACGTGGTCATTGCAGGTCCACAGGATTCCCCCTTTGAGGGTGGGACATTTAAACTTGAACTATTCCTTCCAGAAGAATATCCAATGGCAGCTCCTAAAGTACGTTTCATGACCAAAATTTATCATCCTAATGTAGACAAGCTGGGAAGAATATGTTTAGATATTTTGAAAGGTAGGTGCTACCTTGTTTTATTTCTTTTGATCTTATTAAGCACGGAAACTTGAAAATTGACCCTAAAAAGAGATTTAATTTGTTTAAAGAATACCTTGCTTATTCTTTAATCTGGGAGAGGAAAACTTTCTATTCTGTAGACTGTGGTGTTTCATACTTCTATAAATGTCTCTTCAGATAAATGGTCCCCAGCTTTGCAGATTCGTACAGTTCTGCTATCAATCCAGGCTTTGTTAAGCGCTCCCAACCCAGATGATCCACTAGCAAATGATGTAGCTGAGCAATGGAAGACCAATGAAGCCCAAGCCATAGAAACAGGTGATGTATCTTAGATGTTTGTTTTTTAGTTTTAGAAAGTAGCTGATTACTAATTGGTTGGGGGATGTAAATCCTGACCTCTTTTTTTTTTTTATGCCTGCAACTTGCAGAAACAATTACTACATACAGTCATAGTCCAGGTACCCTGAACGTGCCTGCAGAGGTCTGTTTTCAGGTCTATGAGGCTTGCTAGAAGAAAAACTCTCTTGATCTATTTTATGTTGAGTTTTCATGTTCCTGCATTGCATGTGTGTCTAATTAGGAGTTGTGGTAAACTAAAAGTACACACTACTGCTTTTCCTCTAAAGCTTAAGGAACAGATTATCTGGCTTTAGAAAGTACCTCTCTTCCCATACCTGCTTCTATTGCAGGCTGTAGTGGATTGAAAGAATTACTACATTATGTCTTTTCACTTTTGGATCCACTGCAGTCAGGCCACTTCTATAATACCCCAAAAGTTTACAGCTGCCGGAGTTCAAAATTGCACTTAAAATCTCAAACTGATATATTTTGTGTACTTGCAGCAGTGGTATAAAAGCGATTTTTAAAAATAAGTATTTAGAATTACTTTAATAAAGCCTGAAAAATACATCTTTTCCTAAATGTGTTTCTTTTTCTTTACAGCCAGAGCATGGACTAGGCTATATGCCATGAATAATATTTAAATGCGCTTTGAACATCAAGTGTGCATCACTTCTCCTGTTCTGCCAAGACCTCTTCCTTTTTTGTTTGCATTTAATGGACACAGTCTTAGAAACATTACAGAATAAAAGCCCAGACATCTTCAGTCCTTTGGTGATTAAATGCACATTAGCAAATCTGTGTCTTGTCCTAATTCACTATTGTACCGCATGAGCAGAGGCTAGAAGTATCATCTGGATTGTTGTGAAATTGTTTGAAAGCAGCAGCACATCTCTGCTTTTAATCATTTTTCCCATCATGGTTTAAGTATAAGCACTGTGAATGAAGGTAGGCAGGGTTAGCTGCGGGGCTTCTTGTTTTAATTTTGTGGGCTCCTCCTCCCTTTTTATGGTGATGCTAATTGCATTGGTAAAAGCAGCTAACCAGTTATACTTTAGAATATACCCTCTAGCCCAGTCTAACTTAGACGCTGTAGATGGACAAGCTTCATTGTTTGAACAAAAAATGGGAACATTAAACATCCATCACCTTCACTAATAATATTGTGATTCTGCTGTCAAGTGTAGAAAAATCCCTCCAAGAAAAAGCTTGTGACCATTTTGTATGGCTTGTCTGGAAAATCTCCTGTAAATCTTATGTTTTAGTAAAATATTTTTTGTTATTCTACTTTGCCTTTGTACAGTTTGTTTTGCTGTGTTTTCATTTCTCTGTGACAGTCGTATTTAAAAAAATTGAAACCAGAGTTGACAGTTTGTCTTCATCAGTCTGACGGGTTAAAACAGTAAAGAGGTGGAATTCACAAGATTATTTTTTTTGCTTCCGTTTGCTGACTTTTTTTTTTTTTGCTTTTGTTATGTGGGTGATCTTACCTGGACAATTTAATATGAAGTTGCATTTGGAGTGATTTTCAAACCCAAGTCTCTGATGTAACCATTGTAACCATAATTTTAGTAATGCATTGATTTGCATTTTCATGGAAATAACCATAATTAAGTAGGAGGTTGAGAGCAAATGGCAGCACTAATTATGAGTATCTGCATAACTTCTCTTTGCTGATTGCCATCAGATGTTAGGCTACACTGTTTTCTAACTTCTTTAATTCCTGCCCTCTATTAACATGAAATACCAGTGTGTAGAACCACTGTTACAGCCAGCTTGTGTATTGACTGATGTTTGCTTAACCACTTACAGCTAGCGCCTCATACCACTGGTTTTCTCTTATTAAACTACTTGCTTGAGCAACTGATCTGCTTAAATAGCAAAAAAGCTTTTTTATCGGAGGAAAGGAAAGTGTTGAAAAACTTCCTTCTCATCCTTGTTTTATGTGTATGCATCTTGTCTGGGAGTCCAGCATCTTTTCTGGGAACCCATCTTACTGCTTCCCTTAATTTCTTGTCTTCCCATTCTTCTCCTTTCCCCAAGCCTTCTTCCTGACAAAAAAAAAAAAAAAAAAAAAAAGGCAAAAAAAAAAAGCTTAAAAGGTTTTGGTGAGGCTGACCTGAAGTGTATAAATGACAGCTTGTCGTGGTTGCAGTAGGGAGTGTTTTGTCATGCCATTCAGGGATACGGTTGTGTAGTCTATTGGTATTCTCTCTCTTTCACCTCTTCTTAGTGTCATCTGAAATTTCTATAGAATGTGGTGTATTTATTGTGCTCTTATGTAAGATGAAGAATATCTATTAAAACTATGTTTTCCAACAGACAGTGCTTTCAGTGGTTGGCAACCGGCATTGTCCCTCAAAGTAACGTGGTTGAAGCTCGGTTCAGAATTCAACTTTTTCACCAGCCTGAGCTATAAAACAAACCCAAACTGTTTTAAAAGTAGTTTCTGTGTTGAATGTAAGCCAGAGTTGTATTTAGGGCTTGTAACAAATAGTTTGTTCTTCAGAGTGGTTAAGCACCATTGACCCTGCCTTCTTGTGACAAAGGGGCATGTGTCTGGGGTTACCTGGCATACGTCCCCTCCGCGCTGGTAGCACGGGCAGCTCTCGTGGCAGGCAGCTGAGAGAGGAGAGTATGTGAGCTGGGTGGTAGACCCTGGATTAACTTCACTTACCTCTTAAAGCTTTACTTTACACTACATACACAGCTTTCCTTGGCTCTGTCTGGTCCAAGGACAGGCAGCTCCCCCAGAGGACAGTCAGACCCACTCAAGCACCCCCTTTGGAGGTGGCTTTCCCTTCCTTCCATAGAGAAACAGGCACTTACACAATTTAACTTCAAACTAGGTGGGATGAATCCAGACCCAGGGTCATTTAGCAGATGGCTAGGTGTTTGTATGTTCAGGGCTTAAAACTCAGCTAGAGTTGGCAGCCAGTTGGAGGATATAATTAAAACATCAAGTTCTCGATGGATATGTTAATATAATTATAGAAAAAAATCCTCTGCCTCCATTTGCTGGTGGATTATAGAACTTGAATACATAGTAGCCAGTATGCATCTGGGTTCTTTTTTTAACTATCAGCAAATTTGAGATTTCATTAAAGAAGTCCATGCTGTCTGAGTTTGAATGTATGAGTCCATAGTGATGGTATATATGAAATTAATGGTGTAAAAGGATAGGTAAAATACTGTATTTTAAAACTCTTCAAGTATTTTCAAATGATAGTTGTAATGAAGGAAACTTTAAATGGGCTTCCTGAAAACTAAAATTTGTTTGTGAGGCCTATTCAGGCACGTTTTAATGCTTTTACAGTTGATGATGTTATTAAATAATATGTATTTAACTTTTAAACCTGATTTAAGAACCCTGTATAAACACAAGCTGGGAATTTCATTTTATCTTATGCTGAGGAATGTGTGAAACTTTTAGGCTAAATTCTTTGAAGCCAGTTAGATAAAATTTTGTCCTCAGTGAGCAGGTGTATATTCACAGCCATTATCTGAAACTCAGTTACTTCTGTTAAATCTACCATCACGGCAGGTTTGCAAATGCAGCTATCTCTTAGGGGGCATTAGTTTCATCTCCATTTTTAGTGGATGTCCGTTGGATAAATTTACTGTAAACTTAAAATAAACAGGTTTTCTCTAGCGTTACTAGGGCTATGTGTCAAATGTGCTGAAATCCTGAGCAAGAGTGGTGACGCTGCATTTCATGTTAGTGTCTGGATGGTCACTGTAGCTGTTGAGCCTGGGTTATCCCACGGGCTCTAAAACCACGCATGCAGAATACTTCTGCAGTAGTTGCCTTTGGATCTAGAGGATTTGGAAGGCTTTTGTTTTTGCATACCATTCAGTGGTGTTCTCTTAATGTGTAGCCATGTTCTGTCATGGGTGTGAAGTTGTTATCACTGGGAACTGATGGAACAGGTGTTTTTTTTGTATCTCAGCTGGCTTTAGTCTAAACCAAGTGAAATGTTGCTTCTATAGCTTTCAAGAAAGTGTATTTTCAACACTTTGAGATTATTGTGAAACATCTTAATGGACTAGTAACATCACAAATTGTGACATCTCAATTTATGTACGTTCCCTCTTGGGATATTTTTTTTTTTTGAGGGTTACTCTTAAAGTAAAATGTCTGGTAGGTTTTGTCAATAACATGTCTTGACTGTAATGTAATATGACACTGAAATAAAAGGAAGAGTGATTATTCATTATATAGACACTGAGCTTCATTTAACTGTAGTGGTCTGCCATCAGTATGCAATAGTTTTCTTAACAGTTCTTACCATCTTTTAAAAGAAGGAAGATAAACATTGATAAATGACGTCTCTTGTAACTCACTTTCCAATTGCTTTGGCTTTCTGCCCCCCACCCCACCTCTTGTGTGGGGAGAAAAGAGCAACACCTCTGTCCTGAAGCCATCAGAGGGGGCTGCTCTGGTACACAAGCTCAGAGGATGCTTGCTTTTTTTTCCCCCGTGCCTATGTTTAAATCTGCGTGTTTTAGTACAAGACTTTCCTACTTGAGTGCGCAGTTTGGACAGTGTCTAGTGCAATCAAATTGACAGATGGATTGAGTTGTGCTAAACCATGTTACGTTATGACCATGGCATGAAATTAATAATTACAAGTCTGCTGTGGTGGATTTTGCACCGTGTATTGCAACCTTTCCTGTCAAAGTGCACATGAAGATTTTAAAGCAAGTATCTAATGGTTATGTTACACTGAAGTACATTAGAAGAGGCATCAAGCAGTGAAACTGCTTGTCTGTGGTGTTTGCTTTTGTGAACTCCCCTTAACACTGACTATAAGGGTTTAGGTGTGAGCAAGTAGACTATTCTCTTTGTCTGCAGGGCAGAAAACTAAGGATAAAATCTGCTCTGATTTGAAGGGTGGTGGAAGCTGTTGGCTGAATGCTACCCACTGGCTGACCTGTGTTAAGAAAGTGGATTATACCCTAAAATGACTCATCTGTGTAGCTCAGTTCGTTGCTAGGGAGTTGTCACTGTTGATGAGCCCATCACTGAGACACTGAGTACTGGAGAATCCTCCTGAAGGTGGCACTGGGCAGCGCAGTACCTGTGACTTCTGTAGATCACATCGCACGAGCCTTCCCAGATGCAGAGACTGATGCAAGTGTGGCATGTAACAAAGATTTTTATTGTTATTATTTTTTAAAAAGGAAAATATAAATTCACAAGGGAAACATCTCTGACTGGAGTACTTGTGTTTCAGATACTCTGGGCTCTTGTCTGGAGAGCTGCTGTGAAGGAGTATTTTTTGGATCAGGCCTAATCTGCATGTCCCTGCCTGATGGATACCCCAAGTGCAGATGTCTGTGATTTCTGTAGACAGGCTGGCAAGGTCAGTTATAAACCTGAAAGATTTCATGTGCAATGTTCAGTTGTTGCTTGCTGTAGCAGGTGTGCTCATCTCAGCCTGAATACCTGCTGTGCCTTCAGAAGCACCGCTGCTGTGGTTTTCCCATCAGCTACTCGTTATTATTACAAACGCTAAAGGCTTAGGATGGGTACCAATACATTTATGGAGGGGTGTCTGTGGTCTTACGCCCCAAGCACAACTGAAGGTGGGTTAATCTCAGAAGAATAAGATACAGTAAGGTGATGCTAATGGTATTTTTCCTTTCTTCAGTTGCTGTGGATGTTTGCCTGCTGTATTCAAAACCAGGTTGTGCAAGTGCCATACCCTGAAAGCAGGAAAGAAGGAAGTGTTAAGGAGAGTTTATCAGTTGAATGGCAGCAGAGTCCCTTAGGACAAGGGCCTTGCGACAGGGTCTGTCTGGATGTAACAGGCACCAGGCCACAGGTAAGGCAACACCAGGGTAAGATGGTCTTTGGCCAGCAGCATGCATTGCTGTGCGTGCTGCTTCCCACTGTCCAGCTGTCAGAAGGGGTGCTAACAGGTAACGGGGGAAAGGTACTGGAAACCAGTGCTACCACTGAGCTGCGCAAAGCTCAGTGTGGGCCTTCAGGAAAATAGCAGCTGAGCATAGAGCAGGCTCGTTAGTGCTTTGACCAGCATTTCCTGCTCATTTAGGGACAGAGAATTCTCTGAGGGCATTGTTCTGGGTGGTGCGCAGCCGGAAGTGCTGGTTGCCACAAGCAGGGATGTGCCTGTGGCTGCCGAGTTAGCAGTGGATCAAGAGGCAGTACCATTGCCTGGGGGGTACATTGTCTTTCTAACGTAGACATGGTGCTGGCTTCATCACTTGAGCTGAGCACGCAGTCCCTGGCTTAATGCCAGAGCAGGACTGAGGCCAGAACAGTGTTGAAAGTAAGAGGGTAAGTTAAAAAAAAAAAAAAATTCAACTTAAAGCTGGGAGATTCTTTTATCTTCTGAGTCTTGGAAAAGTCAACCATTTTACCTTGCCCTCTGTGTGTTGTGCTTTGACACATACTCCACCCCTACTTGTGTGCTTCAGCTTCACACGGTGCATAGGATACTCTGATAGGAGCCAGATGCAACTACAGTGAAACTCTTAAATGTGGAGAAGGATGCGGCAACTCATCAGAAGTCACAGAGACAAGGGGAACAGAGGAACTGCTCACTGTCAGAACAAGGTGGAAGGAAGCGGGCTTAAAAAACAAGGCAAGAGGAGGTGGGTGTGCAGCAGCAGGCTGAGCTCTGGCAGTGCCCTCCAAGCTAGGGTGGGTATTGGAGACATATTTTATTCACAGAGTGTTAAAGCATTAAGAGACCATGCTGAGGGGGGGCAGGTGGCAACAAGTTCAAGGAAGAGAAATCCATTCCTTGTAACAGCATCAAGAAACTAGGCCTGGCTGGGGGGAGGATCCTGAGCCACAAAGAGTGATTGACAAGGGGGCACTCAAGGCAAATACTGCCCTGCTGTTACTAATTCCTCCCAGCACTGCTGGAAATGATGCAGGGGGCTAGATGGACCTTTGGTGGCACCTGATGCAGCTGCTCTGACTGTTACTGTACTGATACTAAATACAATGTCTGCCAGTTGCAGCACAGACATAAGACAATGGAAGTAAGGAGCGAGCAGTCACGGGTCTGGGCAGCAGGCAGAGGGGAGCTCAGGCAGTTTGTACAGGGATGAGCTCCTCCAAGGGCACACACATCCCCAGGGCTAGGTGAAGCTGGAGTGCAAGCATGAGGCAGGGAGTAGGGAAGAGTAGGTGAAATTAAGTATATTCTAGATGGGATTGAAGACTCACGCAAACATTTCTTTTGCAGTATTTGTGATGGAATAACTGCATCATCCACAGGACTAATTTAGATTTTATTCTTGTATTTCTCAAATATAAAAAGTCAAAATTCTTACATCAATCATTAAAGAAAATCCATGCAAGCAGGTCAAAATGTTTACAACTTAATTTGCTCCCCCCACCCCCACCCCTTCCCTTCAGTTTTCACTTCACAAACCATGTTGGTCAGTAAACCAAGTGTTTGCCTCTTTCTTTTTTTTTTTTTTTTTTCACAGCACATTGTTAATAGACCAATGCTAGGCTAAGTCAGGGGTGCAGTAAGCACCAAAATAAGATTTTTTCACTGTAACAGCCTCTCTGCAGTACCTCAGTATTTCTTGTGGTTTAAAAGCACATCCATTTCACTTAATTCTAGCTCCACATTATTTTAAACTTTAAGGCTTTTCTATTTGATACCACCTTAATCTAACTCAATCTCAAAACCCAACAGCCAGGAAAAGCAACACTACAAACAACTCTGAAAATTGCAGATGACAACCTGTCTTTTCCCCTCCTCCTCTGGAGAACCAAATCTGGATACACTGTATAGAATTTATGGCATGAGAAAAATCCCAAATCTGCACTATATGAAAGAGATGCATGTAAAACCAAAATGCTTCTGCATTTAAATTGATAAGTAGTAGGAAAAAACTTTAGCCTTCCTATTCTGATCTTCACACAGAGCCTTTATATTGAAGTTTAGTGTTGGATTCATTAGGACTGAAGCTGTACCAGTGCCTGTTTACTACAGTTGTTCCCTGTAGCATAACTGAAGTGTTTTCAAATTTAGCTTTACAATTCACAGAACATTTATCTTTGAAAGGGAGTAGAAGTCAAACTAAGCAATAGAGCTTCATTCTGAAGGTTGCATAGAGACTGAAGAGATTTATACAACAAATGCTGTTTGAAAAAAAAAAAAAAAAAAGAGTCTGTCTGGCGCTACTAAACAGCTCAAATGTATGTGACCAAAAAATAACCAAAATATTTATAGGCAATCAACTCTGAGTTTGTTAGCAACAGCAATACTGTACATTTTTACATTATTATCAAATACATAATTCAAGAGTTACAAAATAAGACCATGCATTACCACTAAATCTCATACAAGCTTCAATTGGTTTCATTCCAAGAATCTGAGACAGAAGCATTTTTTATGAATAAGAACGCAAACTCTGGATTCTTGTTTTAGCTTTCACAGATTCTGTATAATCTTGTTGCAAGAAAGCCTGTACAAGTTTGCTCAATTTAAAGTGTTAAAATGACTACTGAACAAAAAAAGTGAGCAAAGTGATCAAAAAAGGGAGCTAAATGATTCACTCTTAAAGGCAGCTTTAGAGCCAGAGGTACCCTTGCAACACCATGGGTATAATTTTAGCACAAATTAGACCTTCTTCAACATGCTCAACTCTCCTCTGTTTCGCCTGGCAGAACAGTGCTTCTGATAGACCCCTCCGTTTGAAGCAGCGAGCTGAGCAAATGGTGTCCCAGTCTGGATTAGATTCAGCGTAACGTACAGCTACGCGTGGGCAGGACTGACTCACCACCGCTCCCTTCCCCCGCACCCACCTCGGGGCTGCCAGGCTGGGCAAGGGGGTGGCAACACTTCCCCCTTTAGGTGCACCTGAACAGAGTTGTGTGTTCTTTCCAGTTCAGAAGTGACTTGGAATAAATAGGAGATACAGGGATGGAAAGCAGCATCCAACCGACATTTCAGAAGTCTTCAGCTTTGCGGCTCGTGCCTCTTGTCAGTAGTATTTATGCCTCTTCAAAGAGAGCAGCATTAAGAGACCAGAGCAGGTCTCCCTAGTTTCACTGCATTTACATATGGCACAAGATTGGTTCTCTAAGGAGTAACTTGTGGCAACAACATTTTTTCCTAAAAAAGTGTAACAGCACAAAAAAATTCATAGCAGCATTTTACACAATTTGTGTTAAAAAAGTAGAAGTTAACCATTTGTGTATTGAGTAACAAAAGGTTTAAGGTTTAAATTACATTTATTTTCCATTTTACACTCACTATTTACTAGTTGGACTATTTACAAAGGTTCAAATGTTGTGTAAGAGAATGAGCTTTACCCAGAATAAGCTTCACATGTGAGGTAACGGTCTACCTCAACCTTTGTTTTGGCTGGCTATAGAAGAGGTACAGTTGGGTTTCGATCCTAGAAAAAATTCAGAATTAGGATGTTCATATGAATTAGATTGTGTTCTTGTAGAAGAAACCATACACACACATGTACACAGAGAGAGTAATCCTATGGTAGAAACATTAAGACCAACAGTGGATTTAGTTTTCATTTTTTTGGCTGAAAAAAAGAGAAAATAATTAAGAACAGGGAAGTTGTCAGCTGTACCTCACTTATTCCAACTAAGTTTTTCTCAAGAGGCCAGCTTTTAATTCAAGAAGCTAAAGCAATTGATGTTAAAACAGGAAAACCGCAATATTTAAGAATTAACTTAAAGTTGGGGCTTTCAGCACACCTTCTGAGTAAGACAAAGGAGTATTATTTCTCTAGTAGTGTAAGTATCTACCCACCTGTCTCCAGGCCCAGGAGGTACCACTACTGGCGCCTGCTGGGCATGGTACCTCAACGCTTGCTAACAGACACCTCTGTAGCATAAGGGTGCCCCCCTTGGGTAAGTCTTACTTTCCTCTAAACATCTTTAAATTACAGCAGACTGCAGGAACACTAGGTAAGATGCTTCTCCTTGAAGATCAGAAGGTTTTGGAACCTGCAGTGTAATTATAAAACATGTATCAAAATGCTAAAAGGAGAAAAACGGGGGAAGAGCAATCTACAGTGCTTTTCGTGTAAGTCTTCTGACAGTTTATCAGCTGACCAAGTGATGAAACAAAAGTATAGTGGATAGTTTTGGTAGCTGCAAGACAGAGTTACTGGTCTTGCTCCTGTTATACACGACATGAAGATTGCATAGGACAAGGCAACTGTTTGGATAGCTGAGGCAAGCAGTGCTTAGTGTCCCGTCCCTTTGCTTCTGACAGGCTGAATGTGGGTGGCTTAGTGCTTTGTTGTAGTCACACCTACACATCTCTGCCTTCAACACACCCATCTACCCAAACACCGCTATCTTAAGATCTTAGCACTTCATCTGCAGATACCAAGTAGAGTTTAGTATAAGACAATTTGCTCAAACTTTTTTCTAAGCAAGTACTCTTGCAGAACTACTGACTAAAACTGACAAGTCTTAAGTAAGCTGAACACCACTGAGATGCATATTTTATTTTAGCAGATATGGAAATTTATATACTCAAGTTTATTTTTTAAAAATGGCCTATTAAGGCATCTTAAAAAAAATCCATATATGGCTTTGGTTTGCTGAAACACTATTTTACATTGTTAAAAAGGAAAAACATGTTCAAATAAATCTGACATTATGACACATTCACATATTTCACTTAGAATTGACAGTTATACAGATGCCTACATGTGATCACAGATGTCTCCCCTTGTGATGACATGAATAAAAAGGTAATCCAAATGTTTATCTCACAGTAGAGGGCAACCCAGAAGTCTGTGCAGAAGTGACATATAAGGAGTTATTATCTGGAAGAGGGGGAACCACAGAGTTTCCATTAGTGGGTGAACAGCTCAGTTTCAGTTTTTCCAAGTACTCTGCATGAACAGGCTTGTGACACTGAAGGACCTTGATCGCATCTTCTACTTTAAACCATTCTCTTTTCCTTCCTGAATGAGTATAATCCACAAAGAAAAACAGAGTTACAAATTTGTAACAGCACCATTTGTTGCTATCTGATCGTTCACATTTTCTCATTTCTTTTAGTTCAGATTGTCAGGCAAAAGATAGAATGTAAAGACCTTGAAAGAACTGATAAAGACAAGAGACTGTCTCTAGCTTACTGAAATGCAGTTCATAAAGTCCTTCAGGTAAGTCTCTTGAAGCAAATACTGGGCAGAAGCTCATATGACTGTTCATACGCGCCAAAAGCCACATCTAGTCCTTACAAAAAAGGATATTATTATTTAAATTACTTAATGCTGCCTTCCTACATGGTCATACTTAGTAGAAAAAAGCAAATCTGAAGAATGAACATGCATACACGCATGAAGTTAAAGAGGAATAATGACTTGGTCTGATTTAGGAAGCAATGTTCCATACTCAAAACATTAATGTATGGAGTTAGTCAGGTTAGCCACAAGTTTTAAAAAATAATATACCTTATACCAGAGATATGTTTAGATAAGTTCTAAGAGTTACCTCAGTAAGATAGTGCTAAGACCATCTTTCTTTTACAAGTTAGTCCTTTAAAATTAGAGGCCTCTGAAAATACTTACAGACAAGGTCAAGGATAGTATTGTTAAAAGTGGGATTAATTCTATTTTTCATTTGGTTTTACAGTGTGACAGGTACTATGCTTGAACATTAAGACATCTATAAACTGCTTGTCTGAGACCAAGGTATGCAGCCCCACCAGGGCTGTTCGTCTACTGCCAGCAGCGCTCTCCATTGAGAAGCTGGCAGCAACCCCTGTGCTGGATGCACAGAAATTTAGGAATGTTTAGGAATGACAAAGACACTGAATGAAGCTTTTTTTTTTTTTACTGTTAAACTTAAGGACAAAACCAGGTAATGTTTGCCTAATTAATTTCAAAGTAGAAGAGCCATACAATATCACAAAGGTTGTTAATCTAACTAAACTGCGTGACAGTGGTATCTGTATGACAGATGTATATACAGGAATAGATGCCTCAAGGTCAGCATTGTCACTACTGAAAAATTAGGCTAAGGTGAAAAATACTAGTGATCTTTTCCCCCCAGGAGAATCAAAAGAAAAAGAACCTCATCAAAACTTTCCAAACACTTTTTAAAGACCCTTTCAAAAACACCCTAGAGTATCAGACAGCAAAACATTCTGCTATTTAAGGAAAAAGCAATTATTCAATATAATATTTGGCCTTTAAAAAATTAAGAGCTGTATCAGCAACTAATAATGAAGTTTATTCTACTGTAATACTTGGACTACCCTAATTAATACAACATAAGAGTAACACAATGTGTCAGAAGCAACCCTAGCTATATGTGTACAAAAGTGTGGAAGAACAGCATCACGATTTCTGGTCATTTCAGTTTATAGATCAGAATTAGTATTTCCCCCCCGAATTATATGACTTACTTCAGAAAATGAAAAAAGTTTGCTTAATAGATTTTAAGTGTAGCACATGAGAACAGAGAATGGGTTTACCTATATTAACTGAATCTTCCCAGTCTTCCAGTATTTCTGTCACAGTAAGAACATAAACATATGTCCTATGCTTCCGATCCTGGTTCTGCTTGAATATTAGTAGAAGACATTTTAATTCTCAGCAAAAAATAACTTTACCACAACTATAAGATTAGAAAATACTTACCTCTGACAGATACCTGCCAGCAAAACCTGGCTTTTATTTTCACAAAACAAACTTCTTTACTGAGTAGGCCCAAAAGCATGGGAAAACTGAAGTTTTATTATTTCAACAACAGTGATTATATTTTATTAGGCTAACAAAAAAAAAAATACCCTGAAACAACCCACAACCCAAGCAAATTAGAAGATTGTGAAGTTGGGACCAAACTATGTTCTTGGTTATCCAGTTTGACATGAGCAGTTGTCTGCTAGAACCGCCCATTAGTTCTCTTTTATATATGTTGTAAGTTACCACAGCAGAGTGCATTTGCTAAAACTGTTCCCACAACTCATGTTCCTAGATGAACAGTTATTAAAAACACCTTTGCAAGATGGAACCACTGCATCACATGGCCAGATCATCATCTATGCAATGCTGGCTATAAAGTTTCACTCAGTAAGCGAGGCAAATTAAATAGCCTATGTTTGCAATCATGACAAATGCAAAAATCATTACCATCTGTTCGCTTGACAGGTTTGCCATGTTTGCAGTGCTGACCACCTAGCTAGAAAGTGCACTTTTTTTCCAACATGGCAAGTCAGATACAGAGGCTAAGAGGTCATCTGCTCGGGGCAGGGCCGTGTTGCCACAGGCAGCCCAGGCTAAGTCTGCCTGGCCGTTACTCCCTGCTAGCTCCCAAGCAGCCTGGCAGTGGGAACGCTGCTAAAGGCACCACCGGACTAACCAAACCATACTTCTTGGAGAACTGAGCTCCTAGAAAACCCAGGACCATCTATGATTACAAGTATATTAAGAACCAAGACATGTTGTGTCCTAGCTCCCCTTACAGATGGTTTTACCCTTGTGCCAATAACCATTCCTACTTAACTCTCTTTCACTACAAGGTTAATATAGTTTTAAACTGCTGTGACTTTAGGAAATAAAAATACTCCAAGACAACTCTTTGTCAATATCGCTATTAAATGGAGTAAATACATCTAATATGTATCCTTTCTGGCCGTAGTTCTAGAATATGAAGACTCGGCAGCAATATCATTTCCATATTCTCTTAGTTCCATCCCCAGGTTGCAATGTGTGGCCCCCTCAATGGTACTAACAACTGTTTGTGGGGATGCGTTATGAAACTGAAGTAGGGCTTTGATTTAAGTTACAAAAACCGAGAAAAGTGCCACTCAATATACATTTTTATCTCCTCTGGTCTAGATGGTGGTATTTTGCTTCAGAGGAACATGCAGCTGAATTACCAAAGAATCATCAGCCCTTGCAGCCCCTGTTTTAAGGCAACAAGATGATAGGTATCCTGTCTATTTTTGGTCTAAGCTGGGAAATACAGAATAATTCTGTAGACTATCCAGCAGAGTTAAAACACAGACAAGGTTTTAATCTGTAGGTTCATCCAGGTGTATTCATAAACACAAACCAAATCAAAGGCAAGTGTTACTCACTACAAACAGGAACTTCTCTAATTTTGTCATGGTTTCCGTATTTCACAATGGGAACACCTTTAACACTTTATCAACTAGTCATACATGACTAAGTAGTATTTCACCTAGGTATTTCCTATCAGGAATACACTGCCTCTGAAAGTTGGTTTCATAATTAAACTGTGAAGATTCATACCTAACTATTAGACTAAGGGACTTCCACTCTCATACAGCACAGCATAATGCCGGATGTTTTATGATCTGAAGACTCACACCTACATTTCCACATTCTACTCCTGTCTAGAACCCGAGCAGAAGTGGGCAGTGCCAACACTAAGAGAGTTGTATCTAGCATGCATCTTTGTGCTGTCAGTAGTTGAGTGATGTTTACGCTATGAAATACAAGTTTTGAACCATGTAGTTTTGCTAAAGGTTAGATGTATCTGTTATCCAAAGCTTTAGCTTTTTTGGTGAATCAAAGTCAAAATGAGATACTTTATATGCAGAGTTATCAATTTAGGTGTGTGTGAAAGTGGCCAATTTACTTCAGTAAAATCTAATGAGAGAGGAAAAGTCAAAATAGCGCCTGAAAAAAGACATGTGTGATATTTCAGAAATCCTGGATCTATCAATTTTACTTCTAGATGTTGTCCAAGTACAAATTTAATCTTTCCAGGAGAGTTCCAAGTACTTCGAAATCTTCCTATTCAAATATTCAGATTTCATGTAACAACTAGAATTAGTCACCTGTCTAGTGTAGCATTTCCAGTAGCATTGCAAAATTATAGGCAAGTTATACTTAAGTCTGATGTTGCAGTTTATCAATTCTCACAAAAAAAACCCAAAACAAAAACCCAACATTATTTTTAAAAAGTAAAATAAATAGCTCACCTCAAATATCCCAAGCAGTCTGCCTAGCTTTCCCTTTACTCCAGCCTACAAAAACAAACAAGAAAAAAGTGTTAACATGCTTTTTAATTTCAAAAACTATCAGTACCAGCCTCCTACATCAGCACACTTCACCTTTATTAGGGTTATTTAAGCAAGTGTTTTATCATAAGTATTAATTAGACAGTGCTGCACTACTTCTGGAGTTTCTAGTTTTAGAATACCTAAGAGTATTAGAGCACAAAAGCTTGACCTAATGTATGGATCAAAGAATGCATAAATCTTTTAAGTTTTCCATCCAGACCAAAAATACTGTTTTACTTACCGTGTTCTTTGGGTACTGTATTTTATTAAAGAGATGAATGACATCCAGTATTGAAATAATCCAGGGGAGTAGACAGGGCAAGAGATAATTTAAAATAGTATAATAATAAATCTAGAGAAGTAATCATTAAAACTCCACTGCTATTTTACACAAACTTAAGTCCAAGTCTTCAAGATACAATAACAAGTTAAACTATAGGTTACTGGGTAGATCTTGCAGCATGACGACTTCATGTATGCTAGTTCTCATATAGAAGTGGAGCTTTTAGCATTAGCTTAAAACCAAATTTATATCCCCAATTCTTTGGAAACAGTTTTGAATTATTTTTCTAGTTAGTAACGCCACAAAAGACTTTACATTCAGAGTTTTACTCCAACTTTTAAAAATAACCCCTATGTGTATCAGCCTGTGCTTAGTAATTTTTATCAATACAATGATGGTGGTCATTATATTCTAAGGCTCTAAGGTTTGTTTTTCCAAAAGTGATATATAATGCCTCTTCCAACAGAAGTAGTTTATGATCAGCCATTTATTCTAAAGAAAACTCAGTCCAAACACCCGAGACATAAAAGCATCTGTAGTCTACTGGGAGACAAAGCCATATCTAGATTTTTTTTTGTTTTGTTGTATAACCAATATTTAAAATAGGGCTTCCTAGCACTAAGATGACATTTTCTAGCCTTCAGTCTTTGTTTTCAGCTTTAACCAAAGAAAGTTACCAATGTCTAATATCTTTATATAAAAAGGACCATATGGATCTTGATTACATTTTAATAAGTAACTCTGACAGACAACTGGGCAGGCTTTAGCAATAAGTCTAATCAAGATCTTACAAGTGAATGTTTTCTGTCTGTCTTTTTAAAGCAAGCAGATGGCTGGTGCTATTTATTAAGCAGTTTTGATGAAAGAAGTCCGATTGCAGCCCAGGCAACTCAAGAAGCATTTTGCTTATCTAGAGCAAGAGCTAGACCTAAAGTTAATGCAAAGCTATATACAATGTTCTTCTGGTTGTCTGCTGTGATGAGAGATACCTGTTAGAGCTAATGAAGCAGAAATACATAACTGAACCTGCTGGATAAAGTGATTAAGCAGTACATCAATGATGAAAGTAACAGACTCTTATTTTAGTCTGGAAGGGTCAGCTGTGCCACAACAGGCACTAAAGATAGCTTGTGCATTACACTGTGTAATGAAAAAGCATTTATTAACCCAAAGGAACACACACTGAAGAAATGTTTTAAGTTTTACTGATCAGTCCTACGTTCTTCAACATTACAGTATCTTTTAAAAAAAGAGAAGCAGAACCTAAAAGGCTACAAACTTATGCTTCTGTCCCCACTTTTTGCCCTTCTCATGCAGCACCATCTAGGAATCGCTATATCCTTTAAGATTTCTATTTTGTGGCAAACTGAGTAACTAAAAAAAAAAAAAAAAAAAAAATCAATTTCCCATAATACTATTCCATCAAAAGTAACAACATGAATCTTTGGGATTAGTCTTTTTAACACTTCAGGTACCCAAGTGTGCAGTCTTCGCTACACAAGTTTTGCAATCTCTTTGGTTCTTCCCTAAAGTTGCAGCAAAGAACAAGATTGTTTAATATCCTTACAGATATGGTTTAACAGCATGACAGAGCCCAGTATAGACTCCACAAGTTTCTCAAACATTAAGAAAAGCTTTAGAGCAGTTACTTGGTACTCAGAAAACAGGACTATGCTCCACCAGAAGGAAGAAAAAAATTACTCCCTCTCATCCCAAATCCAAAAACTACTACTCCACACCCCGCAACCTAAAAAAACTTTCAAGATTTAACTTTAAGTCATCCTAGCCAAGGCCTTATTTCCATTACAAAGATTTCTTAAAGGCAGGTCTATGGCAACAGGACTGCTGAAAGACAAAGAAACGTCCAATCAATAAATGCAGGAGGGCTTCTCTGAAATGCTAAGTATGAGTCTGACAATTAACTGATATACAACACACAAACAGCACACCAGGTAAATTTACCAATACTGAATAGTTTTCATAGAGAAGTTTTTTCAACTAATTAGTACCCCACAGTCACAATGGGACTTTATCAGTGTTACTCTAAGTGGAATTTACATAACAGCTTCTCTATTCTTCCTCCACGCAAATCAGTGGTTCAAACAAATACTCTTAGCTGAGTAATTCTGAACGAAACAATTAGAAGAACTCCATTACATTAAGTGTAAAAATTCCCCAAAGCTTGTAACAAAGCTTTTGTGCAACCAGATGATGCTATGCAAATGTGATTACTGTCACTGGTGTCTAGTTACTCTCTAGGCATAGATATATGCTTCCAAAACATAGCATCATCCCTGAAGACACTAGTGTCTTTTGAAAACTTCTATACCCAAAAGTATAAAAAGGTGGTAGTCTCATGATTCTTCTCTGCAAGTAATATATTCAACTGAATCATCTTCACAGTTTAAAAGGTACCATCAACTTGACAGTGATTAAGTGCTTTTGCTAACAAAATTATTTCCTCCAAGTTCTTATCTTAATGTAGTTCCCTTGAAACGTGTCAAAATTAAGTGCTAGATGACCAAGAAATGCTTCAGCTTTTCCCCCAGAAAGTTGAATAAAGTTGTCACTTTCCCAATTGTAAGCTTCTAATCTAGTATACTTGTTAAGTTCTAGACTTCGAACCATTTTGTCTCTAATAAAAATACCTTTATTCTTTTGGCCTTTATGTCTCCGCAGCTGTTAAAATATGGTTCTTTAAGTAAACTGAATCCTATAGACTACCGTAAGCATGTAAGACAGTCTAAAGTTTGGGAGAAAACCCTGAAAAAACCTCAGCATTTCTTCTGAGAGACAAGCTATTGAATTAAGTGCTACAGCCCCCCAGAATGATTCCCTAAGGAAGTCTGAGTACTATGTAGATAAGGTCTCAAATCAGAGTTTATGCAAGTATTTTAGTATTAGTCTAAATCCAACCACAAGAGGGAAAACTGTCCATTTCATCCCATCATCCTTCTGGCCTGGAAGTCATTCACTGTTGGCATCTCTAGAATACTGCAGTCTTAGATGCACAATCAGACTTGCCTTTTGTTTCCTGTAGATGGAGCAAGAGTCCCACTGCAGTTTAATTTTCAGGCTAACAGTCTACCAGGGCAGAAAGTTGCTTAAAAGTGCAAGACTATTCCTGCCCTTTCTTGCATACTCTTATAAAACCCAAAGGGTTTTGCTGTACCTGCCACAATCTTTCAGCTGAAAAGTTTTTTTATTTTTTAACTATCTACCTAGTCCTAGTTTGTAGCATCCAATCATTTCTCAAATATTAGATGGTCACCGCAGGAGATTCCTCTATTTCCTGAGAGGTATCTTAGATAATATTACTGCCATTTTTAACATCACAGCAAATTAACATTCAGGATCAGCCTCTTCTGAGAAACTGTGTGTATTCACACAGGTCTGGGAGGAATCACATGTATTTTGATAGGCACTTCAATATACTACTAAGTACAAACAAAGAAAGAGTCTCAGTTTTTGGTGAGATAGAAGAGAAAGTAGTGGGAGGGTGCTCCTTCCACTTATGGGCTAGACATCGGCTTGTTACCCTTGTTATTTGTGTCATATTTCTCTGTGAACACCACATGTGCAAACAATTATTTCCATCTTTTATGCTACCCAATTAAAGACTAAATTCCAAATTCACTAACAGAGTAGCTCCTCATTTAGATGAGGTTTAATACCTTTCTGGGATTGCTTTAAACTGTGACTTCATGTTGGTATTCCACTTTCAGGTTTGTAAAACACTTATCATACCTAAGGAACTTGACAGGTTATCTTAATTACTATAACCTGTGAAATGGCAGACAAACTTAAATTAACACTAAACATTTAACAGAAGTAAAAACCCAAATTACTAACATGAACAGAACTTAAGGGTAAAAAAAAATAATAATCTGGAGTCATGCATAAAGGCAGACTATGGAACAACTGTAGTGCTTACAGATTTGACTACAAGATATTTGCTTGGGTTTTAAAACAAAGATTTTAACTACCCTACTGTTTGTGGGAAAGTGAGGAATATTTAGAGCCAGTGAGCTATCATATTGTGAGCTATCAGCACTCCTACCATTAAAAAATGCCAGTATAATTCCCACTAACAATTTCTCCATTTTAATAAATTACTGGAAACCAATGCTTAGTTTGTGTATGACCCAATACTGAAGAAACCCAGTTCAAACCAGCACCACAGCATGCCTCCTTTGAAGTTTATTCATTCACAAAACTCTTAACAGTTCACTTCACTGTACTGTAACCAGCTTGCCAGGTGACATTGACCTTAGTATAAAAATAGAAAGGACATCCATCTCTAGAAAGGTTAGCATGAATTTTCATGGCTCAAGTCAAAACCCTGAATACCAGTTTGGCTTTTCTTTGAAAATGGCACTTTGCAGTCTCATGACACCACACGATTCAGCCTGTAGCATAAGAATGTTTTACTTTGAGCCATGAGCTTTTAACACCCATCAGCTACACAAGCTATCAAACCCCAGAAACTCTGAAGCTGTAGAACAAGTGTCATGAAATGATTTTTGCTTATTAAAACCTCTAGCCTTTGAAAAAAATCTTCATTTGCAAGCACAGCTCAGCTGAACATGGCTGGCAGTTTGTGCCTTACTCTAGAACATCATGAAAAAAACAAAGCATAGGCACTGTAGTAGAAGTAAATAAAAATTCATTTAACTTCTAAGCAAAATGTCCCTGCATAGCACCACTCGAGCTTTATATTTGCTGGGTTCTCTTCTTTACCTTTAGAAACAGTTTCTTTCATGGTGTTGGCATTCTTTGAGTCACAACATGCAGCTTTTCTTTCATGAAGCCTTTTACTGAAATTTTGATGAGAGTACATATATTCCAAACAGCTACAGAACAGCTTAATGTACAATACGCTGAAAGGTAATCAAAGTATTTGCCTAAATCACATGTAAACATGTAGCTGGTTTTTAAGATCCACTTTGTGTGATAGCACTTGAACAAAACATGCTCAAAAGAGAGCTCTGTGTATGAGTGAAGGAGGCTGACCCGTCTTCAGGATTCAAAACAGCCCAGGATTGCTGAGTACTGCAATTCTTGACCAGAACCACCATGGTGTACAAGAAAGTCTTTTACTTTGCCCTGAGAAAGAAATGAGGGCAAGAACAAAACTGGCCTATGGAAAGACTGTTTCACATCAGAACAGCAAGTACCCCTATTTTTCACTTTCTGATTTTTTTTTTGTTTTGTTTGTTTGTTCCTGCTGATATGAAATCATCAGGGAAAAAGATCATTCAGAAACAACTAACATTTTAGTATCTGTATGAACTAGAGAAGTTCACAGTGTCTGGGCAGTGTGTGCACTCTGATTGGGCTTTTACATTAACAGAGAGATTTGTACTAAGTTTATACAATATGCATCATCCAGTAATATTCTATACTCATTCCTTAGCTATCTCAGCTTAACCTTCTCCAACACTTGTGGCCCATGCACTGCACCACTGCAGAAATTTGCAAGCAGAGCCAGGACTTGGAAGTGCTCCTCAGAATATTCTCAGTGCAGAACCATGTGTAGTAGAAAACTAATTATTAGCCCTCAGATCACAACTCTCAATGCTATACTACTTTGCTACAACGTCAGCTTGAGAGTTGTGTGTGTAGCATCTCATTCCCAGCAAGCTGAAGAGCCAGACCTCTCAGGCAGCTTTCAATAGTCAGTCAAACCCTCACAGCAACTTTGATGACTTACTAACTGCAGACAGGTCCCTTCAAGGTGATCCATTCTTCACCACCAAATTAAACACCCAAACATATTACTACAATCAGCTCTAGTTTGACATGGAGATGAGATTTTACTGTCCCCCATCTTGGACTGCACCTTAGGTCAGATCAATGATTAAAACTACCAGTGTTCACAAGAACACTGAGCCAGTGATCCGTCCTGTGCTTTTCAGTCCCACCCCACCCAGCAACTTGTGACAGTGGGAAGTACCAGGACTTCTCCAGAGTTGCTACTACTGCCTAGAGGCCTAAATCTTTGCCGACTCATTTCTAGAATCCCAAATTTTTGCTCCTTTCAAGTGGACTGCCTTGTGGCTGTCTTACTACTTTTACAAGCACTTACCCGAGTAGGTCTTGTGCAGCTCAAAATTATCTGCCCCAGCAAAACTGGACACAGACAAAATCTGGAGTAAATTAAGTATCAGTGAGACTTATTTATGCTTGAACCTTGCTGCATGGAGGCTGCTAAGAGCAGTGAATGCTGAACTACTCTGTTCCTCGTGTAGGAGGAGAGAAGGGAGATCGAATCACAGTTCCCAGATCATCTCATTTTGACACTGAATAGCAGGCAGCATTTGGTGCAAGTTGCATCTACATCAAGTTCCCAAGCCTCTAAGACCCAGCAGAACCAGTCTTAAGGGTAAGGAAACTGAACTACTAGATAGCACAGCTAAAAAAAAAATCATACATACTAATTTACAACAACATTAGTGTGTTTTGTGAATAGTAGTAAATTGAGATGAAAAAACTGTAAGACTAGCAGAAATCCTGTAGTTCACTCACTTGACAGGATGCATCCACCTTCTGCAAAATCTTATACCTTGTATTTAAGAAGTAGCATATAAAGAATTAAGAGTTGATCTGTAGTCACACATTGCATAATTCCTAACTAAATCAAGTGACTTTGATTTTTCTTGAAGTTTTATTTGGCTTACAGTCCTGGCTGTTACATATTCAAGTAACAGTTAACATTAACAGTTTGCCTAGGAAAAATAAATAGCAAGTTAAACCCCAGAATTTTGAATTTGAAATTTAAGTACCATACTAGAGCAGGAAACTGCATTAATTCACCAAGACTTAAAGCTCTGTCTTGCCTAGGGGTAGGGACAGAGACAGAATGGTAGACTACACCTGTGGTGCTTTCTTTACAGATACACAGCCTTAAATGTACTTAACAAGGCCTTTTTACTGGTGAATTTGACTGCTCAGATACATTAGTTTCTAATCCATTTAGTCTGGAATCTCCTCAAAGGTCTGTTTATTTCTCTTTCTTATGTAGCTACACATTAATGGTTAGTTCACCTTCAGTCTGTTCTAGAAGAGCTGCGAGTCAAACATTTTCTGCACACACACAGAAATCCTACACTACTATAATATGTCATTTGGCATAAAGTCACAGTTCCACTTCCAGTAAGTGTTTATAGAGGCAGACAGAAATTTAGCTATGAAATGAAAGCATGCTGGGAAGCAAGTGAATTAGTTCACCTCACTACACTATATTCCAATTCTAACACACAGAACTGCAGTTCTTTGAATTGCATAACCATGGAAGTAAAATCCTGGATAAAGGAGACAGAGTTCCCTCTGTCTTCTTGATTCCCATCTGAAGATAGCAGCAGCAGAAAGCAGCTGGATTTTTTTTTTTTTTGTTTTTGTTACCTCTTCATACACTTCTCTGACAGCTGCTCCCCCTGGTTCTTCTTCTGGTTCCATTCCTCCACCTGGTACAATCCACTGATCTGGGTATCGGCTACTGCTTACCAACAGCACCTATAAATAATTGCAAATGACTGTTAAATAGAGCTCAAGTCAGGAATCTTGGTACTATCTACTTTTTCAACAATGCACTTATTCACCCAGACAGACAGACTACAGACTAGAAATTAAACGTAATAGGCAACCAGGAGTTGTAAGCAAAAAAAGAACACAAAAACCCACCATACAAACCACACACAAAACACCCAAACCAAAAAGTGGAATTATTAACATCTAGCCCTTTTAGTACAACCAAGTCAAGACAACATCATTGTAATCTCCTTGCACAGACAACTTCAGATACTTAGACACAATGTGAAAAATACACAACAATATGCACAGGAATGAAGATGTACTACAGAAATCTAATAACGATATTCAATAATAAGTAAGTTTTAGGGTAACACGGACAGTAAAGCATGAAAATCAAGACATTTTCATCACACAAGTTAAACAACTTCTTCTGGAATGGCATCTTTTGGCTAAAAAACAGGACTTCTGAAAATAGGTATAGTTTTTAGTCTTAAGAGACAAGCTTCTTTTACTGAAATGTTACGCTAGCATGATATGCTTACAATATTGCATAACTAAATTACAGGGAGAGTACTTCACTGGCCCTTGTCCAATTTGGTTTCTTCTAACCTTTCTGTAAGAGGAAAAACTGCAACACACTGAATTTTAAATAATTTCTAAAGTTAAGATTTTTTTTTTCCCCCAAGACACTTTAATTTCACTTAGTTTGACTCTGTAACCTGGTCATACCATTGGTATATACACCAATTTAAAACCCACTGTTCATAGGATCTGTCCTTCATAATATTCAGAGCTAAGAAGATTTTAGCCATCTGTCCAACAAACTAGGATGCCTCATTTGGAGTCATCTGCAGTCGAAGTTGATGAAAGTAAGACCTTGATTCAGGACTACATGCAAATAAACAGTTTAACTCGTATTTGAGACATCCTGATTAGTAAGACATACTCAATCATCTGTGTAATAATGTGCTTCATATTCTAAGCAATACTTACATAAGCCCTACCTCGAAGTCAAAGGACAACTGTGAGGAACAAAGGGACAGGGTCGGTGCTCAAATCTTTAAAAGCAATTAAAAGATTCACAACAAGAACCTCAGTATAAAAAGGTTTAAGTATTGACTAGTGCCAGATGACTGAAGTGACAGTAGAGTACTCACAAACTACCTTTACGGTCTTTAAACTCATCTTCTATTGGATTAAGCAGGAAAACAATCCCCTGATGAGGGCAACAGAGAAATGCTTATCACTTATACTACACCCCTCTGGCACTTGTGGAAATATGGTGTAGTTTCATCTACAGGAACTGAGGAGTGCAATTAAGATGACTGCATACCTTTGTGAAAGCAATAATGCGTGTGCATAGCGAGATGCACCTAGAAGAGCTTAACTGACATATTTTCTTGTTGCAACATTTATTTTATTTGCAGTCAAGATTTGTCCTACTGTGAAAGATTCTCCACTGTACTAATTGCCTCCAAATTTTTCCTACACTAAATAAGGAACACAGAAGAGATCTCATTTAGTACAGATTAATTCTTAGCATCTGATCTGAATGTTCACATTTTCAGTCAACTCAAATATTTAATTCAGCTATCTAAAACCTTGAAATAGTCAACAAATGAATCTCAACCTGATCTTTACAACCAGAGGTTTTAGTTTCCTAGGATCCTTTGATATTAACAAAGCATTCCCGGAGGGTACACAGCTCTACTAAATGTAGTTTTAGAAAAAGTTTTTTAACATATAAGTGGAACGTCCATATCACTACAAAGAACTACCATGTTGGCAATGCTTAAAGAGCAGTGGTAAAAGTCAAGTTATGAATTCAGCTGTGGGATCCCAGACATAAGCACTACATGTGATTTTCTGCTGATGAAACTAGCACTCACTGCAGTCATGTGGAAGCTAGCCACAATGATGAACAAAAGGATGATTATTTCACATTCAATCATTCCCAGCGTGGCAGAATGGTTTTAATCAGCATTCATTGTTTAGTTAAGGCTAAACAAAATTCTTAATTACTACTAAGGGATAAATCAGGTTGCTGGTTCTGGCACCGTAGCATAAAGCCAGGTATTTTTTTATACCTTTATGTAGTAGTTGACTACCACTAACCTGACCAATAGTCTAGTGAGCTGGTTTTGTCTATTACCTTTAATTTACCCTTTTAAGAAGCAGAAACAAATACATCTAGCAAGTAATCAACACTAAAACACATCAACTCTGGTAGATAGGATTTACAGCTACACATACAATAAACTCCCAAGCGTTATAGCCTGGGAGATCATTATGGCAACTACCCAAGTCTCCACTAACCCTGGAACTGAAGCATTTTCTCCAGCATCTTTCCCTCAGTGTTTTATTCTCCTGTGACCCCACTGCTGTTACAGTCTGAATTCAAGGGACCACACTAAGGTATATCCCCAAGATCTTCAGATGCAGTTTTTTCCACCCAGTAATATTAACACTTGAAGCCACTGGGGCATGCTAGCAAAAACGTACTCAGTGGTAATCGATTTCTACAAAAGCCAAGAGCTGATAGCTAACAACTACAAGATTGTGTGGTAAGGCTGAAAAGCACTTCACAGATTCTTTCAGTTACAGTAGCAAATCATCTTGCACTCATTTCCATGCTTTTGGCGTGCCATTTTTAAATTCCATGTAGTAAATGTAGTTTTCAGGTGTTTCCACCTGTAAGTGGCCAGAAGACACATCCCACAGTACCTGAATGACTAGGCTATAAAGATCACTTAAAAATTAAGACACTAAAAAGCTGTGGTTTCTTGACAATGCACTCACATACCAAGAGAGGTGCAAAATCAGCAGCAAGAGGCCAGCAATTCATCTTCTCTTAATATAAGCAGGAGAATAGAGATCTAGGTCTCCTGGACATTAAGTCTTTTCTGAGGAGGTTCATATTCACACATATTACAGCAGTCTACTGAAAAACAAGACTGCAGAATCTTACACACCGACATTTTTTCGTGCCTATGCACACCAAATTTTACATAACAACCTCAGAATTACTTCCTATGCAGAGAAATGTGTATCCCATATCTCTGAATGCAGAAAAAGGACTGAGTTTTCTTGTGTTGTATTCCTTGCTGGTGATGGCTGCCTTTCCCATGTCTCTGAAAAAGCCTTACTGTTGATGACTCTTGTTCAAAAGATTTCCAAAGTAGAATAACGGCATCAAACCTGCTTGCCTTGTTATACCATTAAGTTTATCTTACACCAAATACTAAGGTAAAGCAATTATTTTCCATAATACTGCCAAGTGAGGAAGTGAAGCTGCAAAATTCAGCTAAGAGGAGAAAGAAAAATTCTTCCACTGGGTTTCACAAGCCAAGTTTTTACCTTGTTTTCAAGTCCAGGAATAGCAATGACCTTTGAGTGCAGTGAGGAAGAGAAACTGCTAGCCAGTCTACTTGTAATAAGCACCTATCGATATGCTTAACCAAGATATGGTTAACCAAAAGCCCAAAGATAATTACAGAGCAAATAGCGTCATGGGACTTGCTCACTATAAATGCTAAGCCTGCAGACAAACAACTGAAAATTTCTAGAGAAAGATGCCAAAGTTTTTGCCTGTTAAGTGTTCTGAAGTCAAAAGAAACTTGTGAAACAGTTAGCAGCCATACATTCCAGAAGACTAAAATGGCAACAGCTCAGAGTAATATAAATTATAACCAAAAGCTATTCCTCTTTTTTTTTTTTCATATTAAGCACTCAAGAGGTAGAAAATGATGTAAAGTTATACGAAGTACCATTTCTTCCTATCTTAACTGTAGGCCATTTTAGCTTACAAAAATAATTGTAGTAAAATCCGCTTACATAAAAAAAAAGGCAACGTTATTAAGGTTGAAACCTGCTAAGACAGAACCAACCCCCACAGCTGGATTCTTTTGACTTCAGAGCAAAGTCATCCACAACTTGACGTAATGAAGCAATAGCATCAGAAACCACTATAAACCAACTGCAAGACGGGAATTTTTCCACAGCAGATGTAAGTCTTGCAAGGAAAAATGAGCTTACAGGTGAAAAGGTACTACTCCAGGTCTACATAAATTATTTATGTGTCATTAGACATCTGTGTAAGCTCTCTCCTCCCAGCCTAATAACATCTATGCCTCTCTTCCCCACTGCACATACCATTTTCTCCCCTCTCATCACCCTCACTAATACACTAGCCACATCCAGCTTGCCGTCTCAATTACTTGGAGATAGCAAAGTTTGCCTTTTTTAATAGTAAAACCGGCAGTTAAAAGGAACAGCTTTCAAAAGGAAAGGAATCAAGGCCTTGCCCCCAAGAGACCACTGAGCATGTATGGTCACAGAACACTGCACCACTCAGGTGTATGACTAAAAACTGTGCAGAAAAGGAAAGGAGAAGGCAGGTGCATGGAAGATAAAGGATTTCGCTCCCAAGCTCTACTAAGTGACTACATGCGAACCATTTCAGAAGCTTTGAACTGTTCAGAGTAAAGGGAAGATTGTAAAGGCTGCAAGAGGTACCTCACAGGTACAAAACAAAGCGTCAAAATGCTGCTAGAGAGAACAGATGTACTGCATGTTTTCACAGGTATCAGAAACATTAAGAGGAAATTAAAAAAAAAATCCAACTCTATTCTGAGAAAAAAAAAAAATAGGCCCCACTTTGAGGGAGGTTAATATAATCTAACCTAGCACATTCCATATGGAAACTTCAGCCTACATGGTTGGTCTGCCAAAGTTACAAGCACCTGAAAGAGTTATAAAGATGGTTTAATCCAAATACAGCCAAAAGGGTCAGTCAAGCCCTATGATTTGTTTAGAAATGACCATAAGCAGATGCTCAGGCAAGAATATGAGCAGGAAATATTTTATTATTCCCTACCACTTTCAACCTCCAATTGTTTTCAGCTCAGGATCTTCCTTAAAAGTACTAGGAAACTACTTTGAATGCTACAACACAGAGATACTATTGAGGAGCAAGGAAAAGC